TTATTATTATTATTATTATTATTATTATTATTATTATTATCATCATTATTATTGTTATTATTATTATTATTATTGTTATTATCATTATTATTATTTTTATTATTATTATCATCATTATTATTGTTATTATTATTATTATTATCATAATCACTATTATTATCATTATCTTTATTATTATTATTATTATTATCATTATTATTATTATTATTATTATTATTATTATTATTATTATCATAATTATCATTATTACTATCATCATTATCAGTATCATCATTATCATTATTACGAAATCACATGGAGCTACATAGTACTGATATAGTTAAAAAAGACAGACAGGCAAAACAGACAAGTAAAACGGACAAGCAAAACGGACAAGCAAAACAGACAGACAAAACAGACAGGCAAAATAGATTAGCAAAACAGACAGGCACAACAGACAGGCAAAACAGACAAGCAAAATAGATAAGCAAAAAATAGAGGGAAAACGAACAGACAGGCAAAATTGACAAGAAAAACAGACAGGCAAAACAGACAAGCAAACTTGACAGGCAGAATAGATAAGCAAATAATACAGGGAAAACGGACAGACAAAACAGACAAGTAAAATTGACAAGCAAAACAGACAGGCAAAACAGACAAGTAAAATTGACAAGCAAAACAGACAGGCAAAACAGACAAGTAAAATTGACAAGCAAAACAGACAGGCAAAACAGGCAAGAAAAATAGATAAGCAAAAAATACAGGGAAAACGGACAGACAAAACAGACAGGCAAAAAAGACAAGCAAATCAGACAGACAAAACAGACAGGCAAAAAAGACAAGCAAATCAGACAGACAAAACAGACAGGCAAAACAAACAAGCCAAACAGACATAAATCATACCAATTCCTCGAGCACCAGTTCACTAAAACGCACCTAATCAATTTTTTTTAAATAAAATTACATTTCCCAGAAGCCTTATCTGGTTTTCGTCATCGTTATTAAGAAACTGCTCAGGGGACGAGGAAATAGTGATAACAAGAAGCTAAAAGATGACGGAGATTGGAGGAATGTGAAGAAGAAGAGAATGATAATAATAACAATAATAAGAGGAGGAGGAGGAAGAAGACGAGAGAAGAAGAAAAACTTAAAAGAAGAAGAGAAGGTGGAGGAAGAAGGAGAGGAGGAGGAGGAGGAAGAGCGAAGGAAGAGGAGGAAGGGGAGGTGGAGGAGGTGCAGGAAGAGAGGGAGGAGGAGGAGGAATAGCAAAGGAAGCGGAGGAAGGGGAGGAAGAGGAGGAGGAGGAGGAGGTGGAGGAGGAGGAGGAGGAGGAGGAGGAGGAGGTGGAGGAGGAGGAGGAGGAGGAAGAGGAGGATGAAGAAGAGGAAAAGGAAGAGGAAGAGGAGGAAGTGGAGGAGGACCTAGGAGGAGGAGAAGAAGAAGAAAAAGAAAACAAAAAGGAAAAAAGAAAAGAAGAAAAATAATAAACATAAACTTAAAAGTAAAAGTAAAAAATAAAAAGTAGAACAAGAATAATAATAAGATGAAGATGGAGGAGGAGGAGGAAGAGAAGGAGGAGAGGCAGAAGAAGAAGAATAGGAAAAAGAAAAGAAAAGAAAAAAGGAAAGTATAAAGAGAAGATGGAGGATAAAAAAGCTAAAGGAAGATGAAGCAGACTTATCCAACTGAAATTTCATGACTCTCAAATATTTTACAAAAATCTTGAGGAATATGTAGTGAAAAGCAAATCATAAAGAAATATGTTTAAATTATTAAAAAAAAAACGGACTGACAAATGTCGTGGGACACATCGATCATATGAGGGACAGACTTCATAATGGGATGATTATATTAACGATAATTGTTCTATCATTAGCTACATTAGCACGATGATAGAGACCATTTAGAAAAAAAAAAATCATACTTGAGAACGATAGGTAGGACTGGCTGTTATTTGTTTAATTCACAGGCTCTATTAACGTAAATTTTGTTGTGGTGCACCAAAAGCTGATGAAGATTGGAATTGAGGATAATGCAGTGTGCATCTTATCTTCTCTCTCAACTCTCTCTCTCTTTCTCTTTTTTTTTATTATCATCTTTCTCTCACTCTCTCAAATTCTCTGACTGTTTTCTCTCTCTTTATATATAAATGCATATTTATATACATACATGCACGCGCACGGGCGTGAGTGTGTGTGTGTGTGTGTATGTGTGCGCTTGCGTGTGTGTATGTAGTGAAAACTGACTGCAGACAGAAGTGTTCTATGTTAAGCTTACCAGCCCAGCGACATAATCTAACTGTTCATTTTTACACTGAAAAGATCATGGAATTCCCAATTAGGGAATGATATATCCATGTGGCTGGCTCACCTTTCAGAGGACCCTATTTGCAAATTCCGTGATGGCGGATTGGGCGAAATATATACAGTAGGATAAAGTTTGGATTCCTCTTAAGAGAATCAAATCCTCCTCTGGACACCTGTTCCTGACCTTCTTTATAAAGGTGTGTAAAAAGATAATCACTCTTTGGTCATGTGATAACAAACCTTACCAGCGGAGTATACTGTCATTCGTAGTAATTTATGGATAATCAGTAAACATACCTAAGAGCTCAATGGTGATTGAGAACTTGGCTGACTTCTAACAATGGTGTTACGAAGGTATCACATTTATCACTTACATGGGCTGTTCTTTTTTAATACTTTAAGTATTAAGTATTATTTAAGTGTTAATTTTGCATAATGTTGACTTTAATTACTATTTCTTATTTGTTGTTTGTATTCTTTTGTTTTGTAATTCATGACTAGGTAGGGTTAATATCAATAAAGGTAAAATAATCAAAAATTGAGACAGGAAAAAGGAAAAAGGATTATCGGGTTATTCCATACGATGGCAATAACTTGGCCAGTAATGATATACCACATTGCGATTATTTCTGTGGGATGCTAGGAACACACACACACACACACACACACACACACACACACACACACACACACACACACACACACACACACACACACACACACACACACACTCACACACATAACACACACATCCGTGCGCATGCATACACATTCACAAACACAACACCCACCTTCACAAAGACAAGCGCATATACATTCACTCAGAAAAAAAGACACAAAGCTTCGTTAGATCGCGGCACACACACACACACACACACACACACACACACACGGGGTCTTGTATTTCCCTTTACCCTTTGTCATTCTTGGATTTTTATGTGCTCAGTGACTGGCAGTACCAGCTTCGAAATCATCATTCTGAAAAAGATCTAAAGTATCAGCTTATACTTACATTTTTTACAAGACTCTGTGAGCTTGGATGGCATGGCATATATACCATAATAATTTTAACCTTAATTTAGAACAGGACATATACCCAAGGACAAAGGAGTAAATATATGAGCCAGACCAATAAAGACCAATATACACATTTTGGTGGATATGAGCCCTGTTTACTTTTGTTTGTCCCCCAACCTCCCTCTCTCTCTCTCTCTCTCTCTCTCTCTCTCTCTCTCTCTCTCACTCTGTATGTGTGTGTGTGTGTGTGTGTGTGTGTGTGTGTGTGTGTGTGTGTGTGTGTGTGTGTGTGTGTGTGTGTGTGTGTGTGTGTGTGTGTGTTTGAGTACGAGTCGATTGTGTGAGTATGCATATTCATATAGAAATGTGTATATATAGTTCACAACGTGCCCTGCGAGACACGGCTATGCACCTTTTTTTTTACTTCTCTGTAAAATTGTTTGTCGTCCACTGGACGTAATAAATTGATTAAATGAAAATCAAATCTCTCTCTCTCTCTCTCTCCCTCCCTTTCTCTCTCTCCGTCTCCGTCTCTCTCTCTTGATTAGTTTTCTTCTTTGGTAGGCGGCCTCTTACCAGTAATTAAGGACTGCTCTCTAAGACAGCCCATGTAACAAG